GTGACAAGGATTGACAAGAACTAATATTGCATAATAGTGCACATAAAAGCTACTACTAATATGGTGTATTGTAGGCTGCAGGTACTTTGTTGTTGTGTCTGACAACGATTGGAAGGACAGACCTTCTCCTGGTTCTCTCCTGAATCTCTCCTGGTTGGGGGTTGGGGGAGGGTATGTTTGCACAACAAAAGCAGGAGAACAATGGAGCCGAAGGCCTCTCAGCGGGGTGCTAGGAGGTGTTAGGTTCAGGGGAATTTACGCAAATTTGCGCAGGGTCAGTAAATCTAGTAGTAGGGACTTGCACCAGGAAAAAAAGGGGTCAGTAATTCTAGTGTTAAATTGCATTTACCATTTTGTTACATTAGTGATAAACATGTAGTCAAAAAAATTATATTTCTCAAAAACCTCCTAAAAAGAAGCCACTCTGCACATTTTCACTTTTGGCACAAATATTTTTGGTGGAGGAAATATTTAGATGTTTAGACCATTAAGTTAAAATTGATAATATCACAATGTAAAGGTAAAGAATTGCATTTTTAAAAAATAATTTGGCATCAAAAGTAAAATAAAGATTTGTCTCTATGAGTTCCTCTCTGACCTAAACAATGAGGAGCTAATTATAATTTCCAGAGTGGATTTTCTTCTTTCAAAAAAAGTTTGACTTGTTTAAAAAGGTTTAGTTTAGTTTTTTTTAGTTTCTGCATTAGTTTTAGTCTTTTTATTTGTGTAAAGCGTGAACCATGAAATAATTGCGAGAACATTCAAATTTTTTGCAGCTGGAATGTTTGTTGAACCTTCTAATAATTAAAACAAATATGAATAAATAAATAAGAATGAACTGGCAAATAAGAGATCTCACCCTATGGTAAGCCCGAGCCCTCCCACAACCTTGATCAAGATAAGTGGAAGAGAATGGATGGGTGAATATAGGAGGATGAATATAGTAGTTCAAGTTATTATTAAAAAATAACTTTTACTACAATTTATTGGTTAAAATTTCTTGTGCAATTTATTCTGTTTTTTCAGTAAAAAAAAAAGATGATGTAAAGGTTTTAAACACTCACAAATACTCGTGTATCAAATACAATACACTTGGCATTACAGTTTTAATTATTATTAAAATATCAGAGCCAAGAGTTAGGAAAATCAGCACTGGCATTACAAAAAAACATAAAAATAAAATAAAAATACAGAACCTTTTCGAGTTTCACATGTCTCAATAAGCACATTGATCAATACCTCATCAGGTAATCTGTAATAAAGCTTTTACTAAACTAACAAATCCAAAAGCTAAGGACATTTACTCCACATATTTAGTTTAGTTAATTTTCAAAGCTCACAATATCATTTCAGGTAGTTTTTGTTTTAATTTTTGAAAATCTAGTTGTTGTTGTTGTTTTTCTTTTTTTAAATTTTATTTAACTAAAATGTTTTTCCCCCACACCTACCTTTAGATTTTATTCTAGTTTTAGTTAATTATAATAGCATTTTTTCTGGAGATGTGTAACTTTAAGTTTGTGATACTGAAACTGATGCTGGATTATATCAATATAAACCACTTACTGTCTAGTGAACCAGTGAAAGATAAACTTTATTAACATGCCATAGAATTAAACGTTTTATGAGAAAAGGGAAAATATCCGCAGTGATTAGTTTGGGTTGAAAGCAGTAAATGTAATACACATAAAAAAA